ACAGCAGCTGCTGAATCTGACGAGGCAGCGGCTCTGCTCGGGTGTCCCTGGTCTGCTGGGGGGGTCCAGTGGCTTTGCTGGACCCCCCCAGCAGACCAGGGAGACCGGGAGAAGCTTTTCTCGCCCCGGAGGACACGGGTGGTGACCCGCCGCCCGTGAGCTCCGGGGCGAGAAAAGCCCCGTTCGTAAGTGCGGATCTGACATAAGGCGGATCCGCGTAAGTCGGGGACTGCCTGTAGTTGTAAAAGAAGAGCATCTGAGAAAAGCAATACTCACAAGTATAACAACATAATTCTTTCAAAAATAAACACGTATAATAAAGATTTCTATCTTTAATCACTATTGGAGCCACCCACGTCATATGCCCTATTCAACCTCTCCATGCCCAGAAGAGTGGTCTCACTTAACAGAGTGCAAACTTCCAGCTAGACTTTTTCCTGCCTTGACAGCCTGGTACAGGCATAGGAGGAAGTAAGGACATTCCCCACTTGTGTAATTCAAGTAAGAGCTGGCGAAAAATGCCATCCCAGCACACAGATAGAGTGAACAATGAAGGGAAAGGATTAGACAGAGCCACAATTCCATATTCCCTGCCAACTCAGGTAGGGGGCCATGCCAGAGGAGCATACAACACTCTGTACAGATCTTGGGAAGCAGGCCAGTCCTTGCTTACAGACAGCCCGCCAACCTGAGGAAAATACCACCAACTTCACCGCCCACAACAGAAACTCATCCAGTAAGCTATCCCTGCAACAAACCCCATTGCCAACTCTATCTACACATCTACCCTAGTGACACCACCACAGGACCTAACCACATCAGCTATACCATCAAAGGCTCATTCACGTGAACATCTACTGTACATGCCACCATGTGCCAACAATGCCTCTCTGCCAGGTACATCGGACAAACCGGACTGTCTATACATAAAAGAATAAACTGACATAAATAAGACATTAAGAATGGCACCATCCAAAAGCCAGTGGGGGAGCACTTTAGCCTGCGTGGGCACACAGTTTTGGAATTGCAATTTGCCATTGTTAGAAAGAAAAACTTCAAAAACAGCCTGCAGAGAGAAACTGATGAGTTGGAATTCATTTGCAAATGTGATAACCTGAACCCAGGTCTAAATAAACACGTGGTTCTCACAGTAGGCAATTTCCCATTCAGGTTCTCTCACCTTCTCACCACGGTTGGAGATGATCCACATACATTCTGATTTAATTAGCACTGATGTCACATTCCCATTTCTGTATATTTTTTTTCCTCTTTCTGTCTTTTTCTCTTCAGCATCTGAGGAAGTGAGCTGTAGCTCACTAAAGCTTATGCTCTAATACCTTAATACATTTCTTAGTCTTTAAAGGGCCACTGGACTCTGTTGTTTTTGCTGAAACAGACCAAGATAACTAACTCTCTGAAATCTATAAGTGTAGTAACTTACTCCACTCAAAACACTCAGCTTACTCTGAGTTATACTGTCTGGCTACGTCTACACTGGCCCCTTTTCCGGAAGGGGCATGTAAATTTCACTAGTCGTCGTAGGGAGATCCGCGGGGGATTTAAATATCCCCCGCGGCATTTAAATAAAAATGTCCGCCGCTTTTTTCCGGCTTTTAAAAAAGCCGGAAAAGAGCGTCTAGACTGGCCCCGATCCTCCGGAAAAAGTGCCCTTTTCCAGAGGCTCTTATTCCTACTTCAAAGAGCCTCCGGAAAAGGGCACTTTTTCCGGAGGATCGGGGCCAGTCTAGACGCTCTTTTCCGGCTTTTTTAAAAGCCGGAAAAAAGCGGCGGACATTTTTATTTAAATGCCGCCTCCGGAAAAGGGCGCTTTTTCCGGAGGATCGGGGCCAGTCTAGACGTTCTTTTCCGGCTTTTTTAAAAGCCGGAAAAAAGCGGCGGACATTTTTATTTAAATGCCGCGGGGGATATTTAAATCCCCCGCGGATTTCCCTACGACGACTGCTGAAATTTACATGCCCCTTCCGGAAAAGGGGCCAGTGTAGACGTAGCCTCTCTGTCTGAGGCACCAATAGCTCCCATTGTTTCCCTGTGGGGCATTGTGCTCATATATCACCTCTTATTATGGGCTATCTGATAAAGCCACGGTATAGCCCTTAATTAGCATTCTTTTAAAAGCCCTTTTTTAATACTATATACAGTACTTGCTCACGTTATATGAGGAACTAGTAACTTACACAGGGCAACAGCATTGAGCATTCCTGTGTAAGGCAAAGCACTCACACACTGGTAAATGAGCCCCACACGATCTTGCAGTGCTCCTTTTAGAAGATCATTCTTCAGTCTGAGAAGGAAAAATGCTATAAAGAGGCCAAACAAAAGATTCTGAGAAAGACGCATGATGATGCCAATCTTATCTCTGGAGAAGTTTCTTGTTGTCCTTCTGAAATGGAAACAAAATCATTGTCCCATTTTTTGTTATGATTATGATTGACTATGTTTCTTGAAAAAGAAACAAAGGCACTCTCTGCCCCAAAGAGATTACAATGTAAAAGACAGTATAAGAACAATGGAATGCACTGGGAAGCTAAGAGAAGAAATAATGGATATGCATATATTCAAAGTGAATAAGATTATCCAAATGATGTTATTAGAGATCTTCAAAAAATTAATTGCCTTTTTTTTTAAGAATATGTTCTTACCGTAAGAGAATCCATAGTTTGGAAACTGCACTAGGTGAGTCTTTGCTTTTGAATGGTATTGCTGGAAGGTCTTTCCTGCGTTTTGCTCCTTCAATGGTCTCCAAAGTCTTGCGAAAGATCTCTGAATTTTTATAGGCAGATGTAATTATGTTAACTCTTCTGTAGGTTTCTAGTTCACGTTCTTTGTTTTGTGTGTCCACAGATGTCAGATCCACTGCAAATTTAATCAAGTGTTAAACAGCACATTATGAAAGGCCTGATCATTTCCCCTTTTTATTCTCCTTCACCAACCTGCAGAAAAATCTGCTGGAAGAAAAGTCTGCTGGAAATTTGTAATACAGGCAGTCCCCGGGTTACATGGATCCGACTTACATCGGATCCCTACTTACAAATGGGGTGAGGCAACCCCGCACTAGCTGCTTCCCCCCAGCAGACCAGGGAGACGTGAAGCTAGGGCCTCCCCCCCCTCCAGTAGACCAGGGAGACGTGGAGCGGCTTTTCTCAGCAGACACCTCAGCTTGAGAATAAAGGACTGAGGGAAGTGAGGTGTGGGAGAATAAAACTGAGCTCTGGAGAAATGTTTGGCTAGAGTTTACCCTACAATATGTACCAGTTCCGACTTACATACAAATTCAACTTAAGAACAAACCTACAGTCCCTATCTTGTACATAACCCGGGGACTGCCTGTATTTCACTTTGTGGAGGTGCCTCTCCATTCCTTTAGTGTGGGGAATTCAGCTTCTGAGAATGTCATTTCTGTGGAACTATGGGTCTGTGGAGCCCCAGATCATGACATGAGTAGACTTGCCCTTCACTGGTAGGTCCACTAATTTTCTTCATCATTGTCAAAGAGCCATACTGCCATTGCCTGTTCAAGGAGGGAAAAGTGCAAAGGAGGAGCTAATGCTGCTTAGGATGGATGGATGATTAGATTTCCAGTAAGAAATCTACCAGACTTTGCAGAATGCATACCATACAGAGCAACATCTACATAATTCCTACTTCTTCTCTGTCAATGAGACTCTCTAACCTAACCTAACCTAACCTAACCTAACCTAACCTGTGGAACTTCATTTTGTGAAATATTGGTCTCAAGGGATAGCATACCACCAGAGTTACCTCTCTTTCTCTCCAGTGCAGCTTTGCCCCTTTGCATTGGTTTGTGCCCCCTCCTCCGGTGGAGGGGAACTTCCAATCTCAACAATTCCCTGCAATTTAAAAATGGAAAATAGAAGGTGCTGGGCCGGTCACATTACCAACTACTGGCCCAAACCTCATGTAAAGCAAAAATTATTTACTGCAGCAGAACTTACAGAAGATAAAAATTCTGCATAGCTGAATGCTCCCTATGAATAAATCTACTTATAAGTTGGTCTTGCCACAAGCAGATGTTTCTTATTATTAGCAAATGATAACCTAGTGTGTTGTCATTCTCTTCCTTGTACTCTAATGTTGTAGAGTTTTGGAAAATTGCCTTTCTTCTGAAGCAAAGAATGATCTAACCTGACCAATAGCTTCACAACGTAAAGTTCTCAGGAGCACGTGTTCTAATAGATCACTTACTTCTCTAAACCTGTGGACTCTAGGACCTTATAAGGTTAGAGGGACTCAGAGCTCAGCCCAAGCCTGGAAGTTTACACAGCCACAGCAATGAAATGGTCCTGTTGCCCAAGCCTCAGGAACCTGAGTTAGCTAGCATAGGCCAGCCATTGGTTTTTAATTGCAGTGTAGACATACCCTAAAATGTTGCCAGGTGGGAGTTAAACCAAACAATAAGTTGTGCTTTTTTAGCACCTTTGTCCAAGGAGCTTACAATGCTTAACAAAAGATTAATTAAGCTACAGAGAACTTTTGTGAGGTAACTAAAATAAGTAATATTGTTCCAAGCTAAAGGGTTGGTACTTCCAAAAAGTAGGTTACAGATCTCTAAAGATGAAGATCAAACATTTTACTCACCCAAATCCAGAAGTCACTTTGGAAAATTTGTCCTTAAGTGACTTGCTCAAGGTCACACAGCAAGTCAATAGCAGAGCAAAGAATACAATATGTGAATTTTAAAATTTAATTTTGGCATGAACCATTAGACCTTGTAGTTAACATTCTGTTCTTCATTTACTGTCATGTCTGACATACCAAATATCATACTTCAACTCTATAGTCAATATAATTCATTCTATGAAACATAAAGCTTCATTTTCCTCTGATACTGCTATAAATTACGAGTGACAATAGTGAAAATTGACATGAGTGATAGATTCAGGTCAGTTTATATAGTCAGGGCCTGTTTATATAGTCAAAACTAGGGATGTCATTATGTAGCCAACCACACGATTAACTGATAAGTCTGAGTTTATTAGTTAATCCTGTTGTCTACATGCATTCTCCCCCGCTTACTGCTTCTGTATCAGAGGCAGCAAGGGAGGTAGTGGGACCCAGTGCCCAGGAGGAGCTGGCTTAAAAGCCAACTTTCCTCAATCACCAGATCCATCTGCCCCTCTCATCCCCACGCTGCGGCCTCAAAGAATGAGGGGGCTAGGCTGGAGCCAATATATGTGGGGAGCCAGCTTTCAAGCCAGCTCCCTGTGTGTGCTGGCTCTATGGACCCACGTGCCTGCCCCCTTGCTACCTTCTACAGAGGCAGCGAGAGGGGGAGACAGGAGCCAGAGCAGGTGGGAGCCATTTTAAAAGCCATTTCCCCCAACACCGGCTCCATGATGCTCCCCCACACACACTGCTGCCTCTATCAGACAGTAGTGGGGAGGGGGGATCAGAAGAGGCTGCTCACATCCCACAGATCAGCCTCTGTCACAGATAGAGGCTTCTTCTTCGCAGCAGCCCCTGATTGTGGGGGATCCGAGCTTCTGCCTGCCACTGATTTTTAAACAGGCTCCCATTGTGGACCAGCTTCTGCCTACAACCCCACACTGCTGCCTCTGATTGAGAGCCAACAGTGCAGCATGCTATGGGGGTCCCAGGGAGTGGGGAGCACACTGGCTGCCAGACCCACCTCTGGGGAACCACTGAATAGTCATGTGACTGCTACGTTTTATGTGGTTACATGACTATTCAGTTACACTATATCTAACATCCCTAGTCAGAATGCACAGACGCTACCAATTTTCAGAAAACTTATAATTCTTTATCTAAACTTTTTTCTTTATCTTCTCATTCAAAAGTTGACATCTGAAGAATGCAGTACTTTGTGTTTACTGAACATTTTAAAATGTGAGTCTAAACCTCAAACTTGTAACTTTGAGGCTATTCAAATTCATGACAAAATTATCCTTACTGTCATATTAGAGTTTTCAGCTTTTTTTTTTCCAATTCCTGCTTCATGTCTACAATCATTCTCTCTCCTAGTTAAAGGCAGAATGCCACCAGAACAATAAAAAAAGCCTGCTTCCCTCGGTACGTGCCACACTTCTGAGTACAATTTCTTGGGCATTTTGGGATTCACTAGTCAGTGTTTAAACAGCTGTCAGCAATCAGCCACCCAAATATACTAGATTTAAAAAATTGTTCTTTGAATACATTTTATTCTAAGTGCATAGGCATCCAATACACATTAGAATAGGAATCTGGAATTCCTTACTGACTTATGCCCTGCACATTCTCATGCTCTGCCCCCAAAATCTAAAGGAAGAATGGCTGAAATCATCCCTTAGTTTCTTCTTAACACCAGTGGCAGCAAAATGAAACCTTTGGCTACGTCTACACTGGCCCCTTTTCCGGGAGGGGCATGTAAATTTCACTAGTCGTCGTAGGGAAATCCGCGGGGGATTTAAATATCCCCCGCGGCATTTAAATAAAAATGTCCGCCGCTTTTTTCCGGCTTTTAAAAAAGCCGGAAAAGAGCGTCTAGACTGGCCCCGATCCTCCGGAAAAAGCGCCCTTTTCCGGAGGCTCTTATTCCTACTTCAAAGCGGCGGGCATTTTTATTTAAATGCCGCGGGGGATATTTAAATCCCCCGCGGATTTCCCTACGACGACTGCTGAAATTTACATGCCCCTTCCGGAAAAGGGGCCAGTGTAGATGTAGCCAGTCTGTGTCTGATTCCACATTCTTCAAGCTCATCCTTACCTAGCCACTTAAAGCTTATTTCCATAGAAATCCATCATTTTTCTTTAAAAATGTACTTACATTTACTTTGATTTGGGTTTTTTTAAACAAACACATAAAATAGAAAATTCAAAGTCTTTGGGCTTCATTCTTCCCAACTTGTGTCAATCTCATTCTCCTTACAGACTGCCTTAGATGTTTATTTAATCCCAACAAGAGCCACATGCCTAACCATTGCTTTGATGGTCATTCTACTCAGGAATAAGAAAATCTAGAGACACCCATCTAGATTTATATCATCTGGAAGAATCTATCAGAGGCACTTTGTACCCTGAAGAGCAGACATCAAGCTACCAGATGGAACTATTCACTTCTAAGTCCCATACTGTCATCACTCCATCAACTGGAACATGAGCCAGCATTGACAAGCCATATGGAATCCATAGCATGCCAAAGATCAGATCAGCATTAATGGCTTCTCCAGCACCAAAGATCACAGTACTATCCTCCACAGTGAGGCAAGGCAGATGAGCAGCTTAGATGAAGCACAATTTCTCGCACTGGCCTTTCTCCCCTAAGAAAAGAAAATTTGAAAAGCCTAAGAAAAGCTGTTCACTTCCACTCCCCTCCCCTCCCCTCCCAAGTACTGAATACAAAATACTCTTATGCTATAGGCAGTGTTTCTTAAACGGTTTGAGTTCACGGATCACCAAACAATAATATATTTTTATGCGGAACACCTAGGGTTTAATAAAAATTTGACAAGCAAAAAAAAAAAAAAAAGCCAGGGAGTAACCAGGGAGACTCGGGAGGTCAGGCCAAAATGCGGTTGCAGCACCTTTAACCACCACATGTTTTGAGCAGAAAAACTTCCTTAATTAGAAAATACCCTAGGAACACCTATAACAATTTTCTTCAAAAATAAATTATTTTGTCACACAAAAAAACCTAAAATAGTAACAAAAACAAAGAAGAGGTCGCAGCACATCTGTGAGTTGTTCACGGAACATCAGTGTTCCGCAGAACATAGTTTAAGAAACACTGCTATAAGGCAAGTGACCATGGTTCAGCTCTAGCTCAGCTACCCTGGTCCCTAGGTATGTTCCCAATTCCTTAGCACCAATAATCATGGTACTGATATTTGAGGCAGCACTGGTAGCTGAGCTACTAGCTGCCCTGCTTGATGTATTGCTGATGGATGTTTCCTTTCTCTCCAGTACCATCCTTTTTATCAAGGGTGTTTCATCCAACACCATCTCCAATATCTAAAATCCTGGTAGCAACATAATTGTAGAGGTTAGCACCACCTCCTCTTCTCCAACTTCTTCCTCACCATCCAGCCAGGAGCATTCACCTTCTTACTCACTCAGATTAAGAGATGGTTCTTCACCCCTGATTACAAGAGCTAATTCCACTATCTGGATGAATATAGCTCAATCAACAATATCATAATTAACCTGCTCAACTTACTGAACCTTAACCATACCTCTTTCCATCATTGCCATTTTAGACTTTCTGAAGCCCACCTTCCAGAATGGGGTCTTCTTCCTAACCGTCATGCAGATATAGAAGGTGTCATTCTCAATCTCAAAACCTCCCATAGAAGCTGATGGGGATAAAGAACTCCTGATAGTTGAAGAAGGCAGGTCCTAAACCCGCTAGACCAGTACCCTTCATCTTCTCCCAAAGACTCATCATCATCTCCTTCCCCCCTGACAAAGCTTTTTTGGCTCTGGATTATTTCAGGGCTTTTCAAGAGCTGCTGTCTCAGATTGCTGTCACACTGAGGACTGAGATCTCAGTGACTGATAAAAGGCCCATAAGTTATTTGACATCTTCCATTCTTCCACTGTGGGCAAGATCCCTAAAAGCTGTATCTCTTTGGAAGGAAATCTTACTCCTGCATTTCATTCCAACCGGACATATTGAAATACCAAGCTTTATTCATCAAGTATGATTTTTTGATGTGGGACAAAAAATCTCCCCTTTTGATCAAGCTTCGTCCAGAGATCAGAAAGGCCAAGGAAAGGCAATGTGGCCTAATAGCTCTGGACTAGCACCTATATTCTATTCCCAGCTCTGCCACTGGCCTGTTGGGTGACCTTGAGCTAGTCATGTCACTGCTCTGTGGTTCAATTTCCCCATATGTAAAATGGGACTAATGAGACTGACCAAAAATCACTTTCAGCCTATGAATGAAAAGTAGAGGTGACACCACACAAACATTGCAAACCAAAGATTCTAGTCACATACGCAAAATCTCTTGAGGGACCATAGTTACTGTGAGGCAAGTACATGTTTTGTTTTAAATCAACAGTTTTCTTCAGTAAGAGCCACATATTGCATAATGCTGCAGAACTTCTTAGGCTACGGCTACACTACAAGCTTTGCTGGAAGAGGCAATGCAAATGAAGCGTGGATTAGCATTTTCCTTTGCTTCATTTGCATATTCTCTT